CAAACAGCCTCCGCCTCTTACCGATTAAGAGGCTGCCTCTTAATGTCACCATTAAGAGGCAAACAAACAGCCCCTAAGAGCCAATTGTCACCATTAAGAGGTTCTATTTTTTTTTGCCAAACAGCCTCCTCCTCTTACCGATTAAGAGGCTGCCTCTTAATGTCACCATTAAGAGGCAAACAAACAGCCATAACTGAATATCTTTTTCTTTAATTTTTCTGAAAAAAATAAAAAATAGGTATTGTGTTACACTAGTTTAGGATACTATAATACTAAGCGAAGAAGATAAGAAATAACGTATACATTATATATATATATATATATATATATATATATATATATATATATATATATATATAGTTGGGTTTATGTAAAATAAGTCTGTTTTTTGGGAATCGTGAAATCACTTTTTTACATTTGAAACTTCACAGCAAAACATTGTGAAGGTACAAAAAATGTCGAACCTTCACAACATAAATATTGTGAAGTTTCAAGTGTAAAAAAGTGGTCTCATGAATCTCACGAAAACATACTGGTCTCACGTGATCCCAAATATATATTTATATATATAAGGGTCTAATCAAATGAGAGCTAGATAGTTTGTGGTAACTGTGAGGTCCAATATGAGCTAATCATTTTAAATAATTAATGTAATTTACTAAAATAAAACAAATGATAAATTAGTAAATTGTATTGATTATTCAATTTACTTTAATTAGTTTAAAATTTTAATTCACTTTAATTAGTTTAATTATTTTAATATTTGTATATACACACACATAGGGACCAAATCCGATGGCTTTCTCCGGCACCCACCACCACTTCGGTGACCTCCTTCGATCATCTTGTCTGACCAATACGTCATCTCCGATGATCAACCACTAAACACCCACCTGTGAGCATTCCTAACACCTGGCATCATAATGGTATCACAGTTGGTACCGCAATGGTCTCAAATTTTACTTAGTGTGTTTCGGGTATCACATTGTATGTATTTTGTTGTATTTTGGGTATCACATGGTGCTCGTCGGAGGTAGGAGAGAGAGAGGAGATAAATAATTTAAAATACCTAAAATATCATTTAAGTCTAATTTTAAGTCAAATTATCAAAAATATTAGTTTCCTAATTTATCCATTGATTTGTGGTTTAGATTAGATTTTAGAATTATCATAAACTAATCAGTCAATGAGATCTAATCTCAATTACAAATCAATGGATAAATTAGAAAAATAATATATATAAATTAAACCAAAAGATCATATAGTATTATCCATATAAATGTATGGAAGAGATTGCTCAATAAAAATATCTGACTTAGAGCATCTTCGGTAGTTTCTAACTTTCTATGGAAAAGGATATTTAGATATCAGACTTAGAACAATGGTATTTAATCATTTTCTATTGATTTATTGTACTTTGTTGCTAATATAGATCTATCGATTGAGAAATGATACATTACTTTCATTTTATAAGTGTAAGGATTTCGTTCATGAAAATGACTGAAAGTTCGATAGGTTTCTTCAGTTTAAAAAAAATTAGAAGAATTTATTTGTTCGATTTCAAAGGATTTACTTAATAGTCTGTTTGGCAGTTGTTGAATGGTTTGATGCAGAATGATTAAGTGGTCAGAACGATTAAGAGACTCTCATGATATAGTGCAAAATGAAATATAATTGTTTACAACAGAATTAGGGCACTGAATGGTTAAGTTTGAGGCACATGATACAAAATCATTCAGAGGGTTTTAGACCAGTAGGAGACAATTTTTTTTTTTTGTCAAACAAGATTATTCTCTTAATAAAACTATTAAAGGGTAAACAAATTCAAAAAAACAAAGTTTAGAAACTCATGGACCATTTACCTAAACACTTACCCGGTAAAAATCAACACTTTAACTTATTTTACAAGATAAAATTGTAATCCATAAAAAAACGGTATTATATGCAACGATTTACTTGTAAAAAACTTACTAAGTGGTATAAAAGATTAAGAGTCTCTCATGATATAATGCAAAATGATATATAATTGTTTGGTAATTATTTACAATGAAATTAAGGTGGTGAATGGTTAAGAGAGACCCTTGATATAAACTCATTCACAGGGTTTTAAAATCATTAAGATATAAACTTTTTTTTTACCAAACAAGATTCACCTCTTAACAATTCAGATACCATCATTAATAAAACTATTAAAAGATAAATAAACAATCCCTTATTACCTTAATCATTAATTGGAATTCTTTTACACTTTCTTCCTAAGATGAAACAATTAACAAAGAAATTATGTGTAGACAACAACAGGACACGTGAGGGTTGATTATAATTTGAGAAGCGCAATCATTTGGGTGTTTGGTAAGTTAATCAACGTGCTTTCTTGATCACATATTTTTTCCTGGTCAACGCAGTAAAAACGAGTCAAACGTACCCCTCCAACCACCACCACCAACGCCGACCGCCTATGGCCGGTTACTCGGTCAACACAGCTGCACCTACAATTCCTTGTTCCCACACCAAACCCTACAATTTATAAATGTAAAACCAACAACTCTCTTCAACAAGCTTTGATCTTGTAAAATTCTTTCATTCTCTAGATCCTTCTTCTCTCCGTCCTCCATTAAAACAGCTGTTTCAAGGTATCATCGACCGTTTCTTTTTTAATTTAATTTGCGTATTCACGTATTGATTTCTTGATTGTAGTTTATTTTCATGTATGAATCTCGGATTTGTGCCTTTTTTAGTTGCTGCCGTACTCATTGATTGCATCAGTTTTTGTTCATGTTCTGTTGGTTGATTTTGAATTTTAGGGCTTCTTTGATATGTATGTTATTCTATGTGTTTACTTTGTGAAAATTTAGAGGGGATCGGACGAGTGATTGTTATTCTTTCGATTCTGTTTGTTTCTCTTTTGATGATGCGAATTATGTTGTGATTCTTCTGGATTGTTGTTTATAGACTTGAAAGCGTCTCCTAATTGCTTGTTATTTCTTTGATCTAGAACTAGCGGATGCTGAGAGTTCTACTTACGGATAATTCTGGGGTTTTCATGCTTGTTGAGGTTTACTTTTGATTTGGTGTTTTCTGGAGATTAAAGCTTAGATGATTATGGAACCTGGACACGATGAATTCACTGATTACGTTAATGGTTTATCTTTAGATGAGAGTATCTTCCCCGTCTTTGGTCAGTCTCCTGGGATTACCAATGGATACAGATTCAGAGATGAACCTTTAGACCTCAGTTTCTTAGAACTTCCTGACCCAACACCAAATTCCGGTCCCTGTACTTCAGATCTATCTTCGTGCAGGTCCTCAAATTTTGATTCCCCCGATGAGTTTGCTGATTGTGTTTTTAAGTACATAAACCAAATCCTTGTGGAAGAGGATATGGAGGCTAGACAGAGTATGTTCCATGACCCCTTAGCGCTACAAGCAACCGAAAAATCGTTCTATGAAGCCCTTGGTAAGAATTACCCTCCTCCTGTTTTAAATGTTGAAAGCCCTGAAGAAAACTTTTTCAGTAGCTCAAGTGAGTACAGTACAAACAGTAGCACAAGTGGTAGCAACTCCACCGATTCTCACTGGCCTGGTGGGGATTCCCTTGAGACCAAATCACCAGTTGCACAAACTCCGTCTCTTGAATACCCTTTGTTGTCGTCATTTGGCTCTACCACTAGCATTACTAATGATGGTTTTAGCACAATGGATTCACTGATAAACACACACCTCGTTGAGAACATATTCACCAATAGCGAGTCTATCATGCAGTTCAATAGAGGTAAGGAGGAAGCTAGTAAATTCCTTCCCCCTAGTAAACCTTTAGTTATTGACTTGGATAAATACAACTTGCCTTCGAATTCAAGAGATGCTTCTCCAGAGGTTGTTGTCAAGGAGGAGATTGTAGAGATGGATATCTCATCCAGTGGGTTCAGGGGAAGGAAGCATTATCAACTGGAGGATAATGTTTATGAGGAAGAAAGGAGGAGCAAGCAGTCTGCTGTTTATGTGGAAGAGGCCGAGTTATCAGAGATGTTTGATAGAGTTGTTCTCTGTACTGATCCCGGAGGTCCGTCCATGTCTGCTTGTGAAGAACCTCCTAGGCATGTAAAGAAAAAAATGCAGCAAAATGGACAAGCATATGGGTATAGTAGTGGTTGGATTACTCGTTCTTGGGGACAAGGAAGTTCAGGTGAAGCTATGGATGTCAGGACTCTGTTGGTGAACTGTGCGCAGTCAGTTGCTGCTGATGATCGTGTGACTGCAAATGAACAATTGAAACAGATAAGACAGCATGCTTCTCCATTAGGGGATGCTCCACAGCGGTTAGCTCATATCTTTGCTACTGGTCTTGAGGCACGCTTAGCTGGAACTGGTTCTCAGCTTTATGCGAATAAAACTGCCTTGACAATCTCAGCTGCTGAAAAGTTGAAAGCCTATCAGGTTTATCTTGCAGCCTGCCCTTTCAAGAAGATCGCCATTTTCTTTGCTAATAAAATGATATATGAAGCAGCTGCAACATCTTCCACCCTTCATATTGTAGATTTTGGTATTGCATATGGTTTCCAGTGGCCTGTTCTTATTAAGCATCTTGCAGAGAGACCTGGTGGGCCACCTAAGTTGAGGATTACTGGAATAGAGCTTCCAAGACCTGGTTTTAGGCCAGCCGAGGGGGTGGAGGAGACAGGACGTCGTTTGGCCAATTATTGTGAGCGGTTTAAAGTTCCGTTTGAGTATAATGCCATAGCAACTCAAAATTGGGAGACTGTTAAAATTGAAGATCTCAAGCTCCAGAGAAATGAGTGCCTTGCTGTGAACACTCTGATTCGATTCAAGAACTTGCTTGACGACACAGTTGTGGTGAACAGTCCACGAGACAGTGTTTTGAAGATGATTAGGGATATGAAACCTGATATTTTTGTTCAAACTGTAGTCAATGGCTCTTATAGCTCTCCGTTTTTTGTCACTCGTTTCAAGGAGGCCCTTTTTCATTTCTCTTCCATGTTTGATATGTTTGATGCTACCTTAGACCGTGAGGATGAGCAAAGGTTGAATTTTGAGAAGGAGTTTTGTGGGCGTGAAGCTATGAATGTGATTGCATGTGAAGGTGCTGAGAGGGTGGAGAGGCCTGAGACCTACAAGCAGTGGCAAGTCCGAAACTCAAGAGCTGGATTCAAGCTCAAACCCTTGAACCGGGAGCTTGTTTCAAAACTGAGAGCCAAGGTGAGAGCCGGGTATCATAAAGATTTTGTGTTCGATGAAGATGGCAAATGGGTGTTACAGGGATGGAAGGGTCGGATTCTGCGTGCTAGTTCATGTTGGGTACCAGCCTAGGAGGCTTCTATCGTCAATTTCCACATGAAGGCCAGGGGAATTCCTTTAGATACGTCTTTCATGGAGCTCTCCTGTGTTGATGTCCTGGAACTTTACAGAAGGTATGGTTTCTTTCGGGTTCTCTCAGCCTAGAATTGTAGATTATAATTGTTGTAGTTGCATTAGATAACCTAATAAGCACATCTAATCGTCTTATTAACTGTTGAAAAAAGTTAACTATGCTCGTCAATCGTAGTAACTTATAAAACTTGTTTTCTAAGGGTGCATTTGGTACGTAAGACAGGCATTTCCCATGGTTGGTGCGAGAATTAGACTGGGACAGGACTTTTTGTCTGACCAAAATTGGTGGAACAAAGATGAGGGAGATGAGACAACAAGATTGATAAATTACTAAACTACCCATGTCAAATTAAAACCCTAAAACCTTGTACGATTCTTTAACCCGCCTACCTCACTCTCTCCCGTCTAGTCCAGTCTACGTACCAAACGCACCCCAATAGTGTAAAATTCTCCTGATAACGAAAAATAGAGAAATCATAAGGACTAAAGCTAATGTTATCAACATTTTGTAAGGATTAATAATGGGCAAGGAGGTGGTTTTGAATTGAAACTTTGCACTTGTCTTGAACACCCAAAAAAGGGAAGGAAAAAAAATTACATTTAGTGTTGTGATGGAGCTGTTTCTTGTATTAAACTCCATTTGGATCTCACCTTATTTGTTTCTTTCAAAATTTGAAGTTGTAAACAAAATTGTATCTATTTAGAAACCCATGTTTATTTTTCCAGGATTATAATGAAATGTTGAGTTGGGGATTGACTTTATGGGTTATTCATGCTGTCAGATGATCTACTGTGGTGGCTGGTTTCCCTGGAAGAATCTTTTGGATGACATATGAAGGAATGAAAAATTGCAAGTTACGTAAGTCATGCACCATTATATCTTTTCATTAAGTAAGCTTGGTTTGATCACATATATATTTATACACATACATATCTTAAAATGCTGCTATGCTAATGTGTGTGTTGGGATTGTTGTTGCTGAACATTTTTGCTCTACTCTAGCCACATAGATAATTGTAACTGAAGGTTTGTTTGCAAGTTTGAAGTTGGTTTAGATGGTTCCAGTTTGTATTTGTGTGTGTTGGTTGGGTTCAAGGGCTTCTTCCCATTTTGGTTATGTTACTGAACCCTAATCTATTTACAGGTGAAATCAAAGAAAGCATCATCCTCTATAATCACTGGATTCTGTTACAAAATATGGGGGAAGTGGTAGCTGAAGGTTAATGTATATCATCATTTAATATTTCACAAATTGTGGGTCCACTTTTTTAAGTCTGTTTGGCACAGAAAAGATATTCACCGAAATGATACAGCTGTAGAACCTATGGTTCTCAATAAGGGTCGGCTCAAGACATATAAATGTCAAATTTTAAGACTCTTCAATGTATATAGGTCGTCACATTGAGTCTCCTTTAGGTCATAGGCCACTTCTGGCTGTCATCTTCAACGCCCTATACTCATGCAAGCTGGTCTGGACATGATTACGAAAAAAAGTTGACCATACGAAATTGAGTTGATAAACCAGACCACTCATAAAGTCATAACTAGTGTGAGGGACCGTTAACCTGACTCCTACCAGGTAAGTGCTTATCGGGTGCAACTTATCTTATCGGGTGAACATCACAAGGATCGAAAATCTTACCCAATAAGAGGCATAGCAATAATTTTACACATACTTTGCCAACATTTTGATGGTTGAGAAAGTTGCTCCATAAGATAAACGAGAGTGATGATGACTTTTGCGTGTACATGTCTCCTGAATATGTATGATAATATTTGGAGGTCATGACTCATAACTCTATTCCACTTTAACTTCCGGTGGTAAGAATGGGTTTAGGAAATAAGCCCAATGAACTATGGAAAATTTTGATATAAAAAATTGAGAAGTGGATTATTGGAATTTAGAACTGATCTAAATACAACTATTGGATTGGATAGGTCCCATTATTTATGGGTCGTTTATCAAATGCTTACCGGGTAAGCATTTATCTGCAGGAGCAATATTTTGACTTACCTTATCGGGTAAGATTCTCAGTCATCAAAATGGATCGTTGGTAAGCGCTTCCTAGCTAAGAGTTTTCTCTCTTACTTGTTGGATAAGATTCTCGGTCTTTGTTATAATTCTTACGGGATAAGATTTTAGATCATTGTCATGCTTACCTGGAAGATAAGTAACACCTAGTAAGCGTTTACTCGATAAACAATTGGTAAACTGCTCCCTTAGGGTCTTGGATATTGTTACCTAGACGAAGAATTGTGTGAGAATGAGAGTTAAGTTGAGAAGCGTAAGAAGAGATTTGGATTCTTAATCATATTTAATCACAAACCTTCCGCTTGATACGGGGATTGATCATGTGCATCTCGATGTATCTCATATTAATGTGCATTTAAGGGTGAAGATCATTTCTTACGCTTCTCGTCTGAACCCAACCCTTGTTACCTAATGGTCATTTCTTGGATTCGCTTATATTGCATCAATTATCATTACCTTTTCCTTTAAAATACTAATAAAGCTCCATGTAAATCCAACGCACATTTAATTTTATAAGTTGTATTGGATTTTTTTACTATCATCCAATAATCGAATGGTCATATTAAAATTTTGGATTTGATCCAATTGTTACAATTAGATGATCAAATTCTGTCTGAATAGTTGTCATTAAATTATATAACTTACAACACATATATATTGTTTATTACCTTTGAATATTTGTACTCGTTTATGGGTTCCAAGCATCCCATGTTAAGGATTGTGAATAGGGATGATGATGATAACATACCCGACAAAACTCGAGAATCGTGTCGGAAAACATTTTTCGAATACAATAATCCGACCCTATTAGCCTTGTTTTCACGAATTTTGTATTGGGATGATTCTAGAGTTCTCTTCTCGTTTTCAAAGGCTGTGAAAGACGAGATATATACTTAGATTCTCGTTTTACATATTTAAATGAGAGATTGACTGTTATTGATATGGTTTATTGGCAGTTGAACGGTTATAACGTTAATGGATAAGATGAAAAGGTAGTTATAACCGAATTTAAGTTCTGGAACTAACAAGATCGTGTCATCACTGAAGGCATGTTCAATGATAGCTGAAGGCTGTTGTTCAGCGACAGCTGAAGGCTGTTGTTCAGCGGCAGCTGATACCTGAAGCTGATTGTTGAGTTATGACTTAGTAAATTTCCTGAGTCCAAAAACTTGGATCCAATTTTTTTTTTCTAGGGGCTTAGCCCTTGGACCCTTGTCAGGGACGCTTCCTCTAGGACCCCTGTTTTATGGCGACTTAAGGTGATAGGAGCAACATTTGTAAGTAAACTGTCTGTACCACCTAACTTATGTATGTTTGTCTTATCACCTTAGTCGATATCAAATAAATCATAATTACACCAAAATAATTGAATGACACTACAATTACCAACATCCCATGAATAACAGCAAACCAATCACAAAGTTGAACAATCCTATAATTATAATTTTTGGTTCGATTCTTGTTTGATGATAAAATTCATTTGGTAAGTTATTTTTCTCCGAAATACAAAAATTCCGTTTCACTTATGCTAAAACTTCAATTTCGTTGAAGTTAAATAGCTGATAATTTATTTACTCATAAACCAGTTTTCTAGATTATGAAAATTTAGATATCAAGTTTACCAACCAATTTTAATTTTTTAATAGATTTGTAAACATCGGTATCTATGTATTATATATCTTTTGTTTATCTCAAACCCGTTAAATTATTACAAATAAAAAACTTAGGGGGTTGTTTACCTAAATGCTTACCTGGTAAGCATTTACCTTTATAAATCAACACTATAATTTATTTTATGGATAAGATCGTAGTACATCAAAATGGAATGATATGCAACTATTTGCTTGGTAAACACTTACCCGGGTAAGAGTCGTTACCATCACTTACCGGTTAAGACTCTCTATCCTTATGATTCCTCTTACCGGGTAAGATTCTTGGATCTTGCTGTGTTTATCCGGTAAAAAAAATTACCCGGTAAACATCTGCCGGATAAACATTTATTAAACGGCCCCTTAACTAATAATAAAACTGACCAGAACGAGTTAAACTAGTAAAAAATGGTTGCAAACTTTCTTAATAACTTCATTATAAATTATTATTTTGATAATATAATTTTGTAACTATATAATACATTAAAATAAAAGGTTACAAAAAAGTGTGTAGAGATGAATTGCATGTGTTGCCCCTTGTGCTTTATATGAAATGACTGATTGGGTCCATGTACTGAAATAGTTCTAGATTGAGTCATGTGGCTTTCATTTTAATATGGAGTTGCCCCTTACCCTAATTTTGTCTTTTATATGAGGGGTATTTTTGTCATTTTATCTTCTTTAATTCCTTCTTCGACGAGTAATCACGTCTCTCTCTTTCTCTTCTACTTTTTTCTTTCATCGTTCCTCCGCCATGGTGCAATGCTATTGTGGGTCACTTGCAATCACTCGAAGACCTTAACAAAACCAGACAGACGACTCTACTCTTGCTCTAAAATGATGAGGGGATAATTGGTTTGCAGAATGATTTATGAAGGAATGAAATATGTCAAATAAATTGGAATGAAATGTTATCAGGTTTGACCAAATGTTTGGTTGGCATGAATGAAATTTAATTTGTCTAATGAATTAAAATTTGTCAGTTTAGTTTGCAGCAAAATTGGAAATGAATGATGAAAAAAGACAAAAATATCATTTCTTTGATATTTCTTAAAAAAGAATAATTATAAATAACAATAAAATTAACATCTAATGAGAAATTTCAGAATTTAATTGAAAGCAAACAATAATTCAAAGCAATAATTTTTTTTCAGAATTTAATTAAAAAAAGTAATCTCTCTCATCTCTAGGCGATCCTCACTCTCAGTCTCACCCCCGCCTTTCTATGCTCTAATCTCTGGCCTCCCCTACCATGATCGTGCTCCATAGTTTTCGTCAAATATAGGTTGGAAAAACTCACCACGGGAACACAACTATCCTCTCCCTCCTCTATGGTCATCTCCCTTTCGCCTTTTCTTCTGCCTTTCCCTGTCGCCACAACCATCGAAGAACCCGTTTTTCATTTTAGGTTTTTCTCGTTTTCAGATTTGTGGAGTTGCAAGGTCGAAGCTTCAAAGAGGGAAGGGGTTTAGAGGGTGTTGGCAGCATTGAACCTAGATCTGGTTCTCAAATCTAGTTTGCTTGAACATTTAATGAGAAAATTGGAAGCAAACAGTAATCGGTTGAGAGCATCATAAGTAGAAATCAGAAGCAAGCAGTAATCGGTTTGATTTTGGTGTTTGATAAGCAAAAATCAAAAGCAAGCAATAATCATGAGAGTATTTTTGTCATTTACACATTTTTAGATGGAATGGATTTCAATTCCATCAGTTTTATGAAGGAACGGTGAATTCCTCAAATGATGGAATCTTTGGAATTCAATTCCATTCCATGGGTATTGGGATGGAATTCAGTCAACGGAATTGACCATTCTAATTCCACCAGATTCCGACGAACCAAACGTCCCCCAAGTGTTATGTCAGTCTATATAGCGTTCGACAATAGAAAGTGGATAATCATGTATAACAATCTTTTTGGCTAAGTCTTCTTTAGACCCGTCAACATTATATAAATATTTACTCATAAAAGCTTTCTCATCCTTAGCCTTTTGGTCCTGAACTAGGATATATTGTCTAATATCCCTTGTAACTCTCTTTGGACAATTCTTAAAATGATCCTTCAAATGTATGGTTCCATCGTTGGCTCTACCCATATTAGTTGCTTATTGCATAATTACACTTTGCAAAATGTCTAACACCATCAACATACACTTGTTCAAAATGATTCCAAACAACCGACTTCAACCTCTTTTGTGGTTGTTTGTTGCTCGTGTTAGTCCCTACAGACATGCTTACGGATTCATAAGTATCACCACCAGTTGTTTGTTGTTTTCTTCCTCTACGACGTTCTCATTTTCCAAATGTTCCATCTAAAAAACATGCATGTAAATGGAAAACACATCAAAGTTATGTACTAAAAGCTTGAGTGTAAATTAAACAGTAATCAAACTCAAAACTAAACTTGGTGTTCTTTTTTCTTTAAACAGTAGCCTAACTAAAGATTAAAACAAAGTGACAAAACAGTAGCCAACTCAAAACAATATGCTTCAATGTTCTTCAAAATCAAACCAAAATAAACTCAAACAGTGACAACCGTGAAGCTCACCTGGTGCGGATGTTCTTGTTTCTATTTTTTTTTTCATTCAAAAAGTAAAACGAGGAGGTGGAGTTGTTATTCTACAGAGCCACCAGTCCAGAAGAATCAATTACAATTTGCAGGTTGGGGTAAGGAAGGGAGGGGACGATGACCAAGGGGGCGGGCAATGACGACTAAAGGGATGGCGACGACGACCAAGGGGATGACAACGACAACCAAGGGAATCGTCTACATGCGTCGACGAGAAGGATTTGTCTGGATGAATGGATGAGCCGATGAGAAGGATCGACTGATAGGAGAGGAATGGTCGATCCAATTGATTAGAGTTTAGACCTAATAATATGAAATAACAAATAAATTTAATTTATTAATAAATTTTATTATATAATATATATATACGGGTATTGTACTCTACGAGGCGGGTCGGAGAGTGTGATACAAGTACTTAACTCCATCTCTGCTTTGAGCAAAACAAGGATCCCTGTCCCTGGGACCCGATTTAGCGGGGAATCTGCATCCCTGACTGGGACGGGTGGACCGGGTTCTTATGGGTCGGAGCCAATTCCGATGCCGAGTTTGGATAGGGAGGTCATCTAAACTTTCAATTTAACCCTTAAAAATGAGAGATTTACCAGAAGGTCCAACAAAATAATAAATCTGACAGAAACCATCCTAATTGCATTGGGATCCCCTATAAATTGTAAAGTTGGATTCTGAAGACGAAATAATGCAGGGTTTACAGAGCTCTTCCTCTTCGCACTGATTTACAAAAAAAGGAAAACTGAAAAGCAAAGGTTTTCGATTCTTCCCTGTTCTTTCAGCAACCCCCAGATGATTTATTTTGCTATGAGACCCTTCTTTTTGGAGTTGAATCCATACGGATGGGTTCTGTAAAAATAAAGTCTTCGTCTTTAATGATCGAATCTGTTTTAGCGTTGATCCCGTTTGAAACTTCTTTGATTGACATTATTGGTGTTGAATTCATACAGATTTTCGGTGATCTCCTGGACGCTTTAGATAAAATCTTTAGTCATGGCATTGGTATGATTCTAATTCCCATATTCATTAATGCCTTGAAATTGAATAATGATGGTTATTTAGTGGTGTTTTACTGTTCATATATGAAATCTAGTTGAGTTAGATCCTACCTTGCTTAAATTACGAGTTTTTTTATGTATTGGGTGTATTTTTAGATGAAACGGTTGTAAGAACACCTGGCTGAATGCTTATTAATTGATGTATCATTGTCGTTTATGAAATAAGCCTTACAATTGGAAAATATATGTTTACCCAATGGGTAATTGGACACTGTAAGAATTCGGTTTGGAGCTTTGTTTTGGTACATATTGGATGCTGTCAGATTTAAGCACTCAAGGTGTTTGTTAAAATTTCTGAATGAGTTCTAGTGCTAAGTGCTTTTGGTGTTCAAGTCATTTTCGGTAAGATTCTCAAGTTTCCGTTTGGAATTGAATGATTTTAGTGTTTTCTTGCCAGGAGGATGAAGTTTACCATGACCCTCCTTCGATGTTCGAACAGAATTATCGCTGTTATCCCGTTTCCTTCATTGAAAAGGTTTTCATTGTTTATTCATATTACCATGATCCAGATTACTAAAAGATAAGCATAATATCCTTCAGGGAAACCATAGAAGTGCATTGCATATTTGCATCATGAATGCTAATTAGTGCACCCAAAACACGAATAGCTCAACATGATCAAGTGCCTTTTAATGTTTAGCTTGATGTTTGGCTCTTTCTGAATCTTTTTCTTTCATGTATCTTATGCAGTCTCATTTGGAGAAGGGTGATAAAAGTGAGTTCACTCTGTGCAGTTTTTGTCCTGTCACTCGCTTCTTTTAGAGAAGAGCTCGGTTTTATGAACTAACAAGTTTCTTTTTTCTGAACGTTTCCAGTTATAATGCCTCCATCTGCTCTTGATCGCCTCGGTTAGTGAGTTTTTCCTCTTCTGTGTTTTGTTTATCAAAGAACTACATGTTGATTCACTAAAGCAGAGTTCCCTGAATGTTTATGTTATCTCAATTTTGCAGCCTATTTGCAGATTGATTATCCAATGTTATTTGAACTCAGAAACCCTTCTGCCAGTAAAGTTTCTCATTGTGGTGTGCTCGAATTTGTTGCAGATGAGGGCTTGATATACATTCCATATTGGGTATAAGTCATTCTTGTATATAATAACTTGAGAAATACTGGATTTCCAGTTCTTTATTCTGATTGTTTCATTGTAGATGATGGAGAACATGCTGTTACAAGAAGGTGATATCGTAAATGTCAAGAATGCCAGTTTATCAAAGGGAACTTATGTGAAACTTCAGCCTCACACCATGGATTTTCTAGATATATCTAACCCAAAAGCCATGTTAGTTTTATCATATCATATTCCTTTTTGCTTCGTACTATGCAAGCAGGAGAAGGTTCAAATGAGAACCATACATACTTTACATATTTTGAGAACCCGAGGACCAACTATTTGATGTATCATTCATGATGAATAACCTTAAATAATCATGAATATCATGCATTTCCATCATGAATTATCGTCATCTTGAATATCTATGATCTATCACGATACTTATCATGAATAAAACATGAATAGTTGGTTCTCAAGTTCTCAAAGTATTCACGGTTATCATTTGGACCTGCCCCTATGCAAGCATTCTCTAATTACTTTTGGATCTCTCTTTTAACTGCCAGCTTAGAAACGGCGTTAAGAAGCTACTCTTGTTTAACAACTGGTGATACGATCATGGTGGCCTACAATAACAAGAAGTTTTATATTGATATAGTCGAAACTAAACCATCAGCTGCAATAAGTATAATTGAAACAGACTGTGAGGTAGATTTTGCTCCACCTCTTGACTATAAGGAACCTGAAAGACCGATTAAATCTAAGGCACCGCCACCACCAGAAGGTCTCTTATGTGTTCTGTTACACTTTTTCTTCAAGTTTTTTCATTAAACAATTCTAAAAAACCAATGCCGAATGCAGTTGATGAAGAACCAGCTAAGAAAATACCCAAGTTCAGTCCGTTCAGTGGTTCAGGAAGACGGTTGGATGGAAAACCGGCTGAGCCTGTGGCTGCACCTCTGGCTCAACCACACAAGACTGAGGCTACAACCAGTGATGCCAATGGCTCTACACCATCAAGTTCTGGTTCAAGAAAACGGTCAGGGAAGCTTGTTTTTGGGTCAAATACCGACCAAGATCCAAATGGGAAACCGAAAGTACAATCATCTTTTTCTCAAAAAGTTGTTTTCTTTCTCTTCTTTTTTCTCATGGGTGTCAGGACTAACTGAATTCTTGGATGTTCATTGGGCTCATGAATTGCAGGCCACCATGAAAGAAACAAAACAAGAATCATCTCAGAAGGAAGAACCCAAATTTCAAGCATTTACAGGCAAGAAGTACTCTCTAAAAAACTAGATTATTTGAAGAATATGTTTATTTTCTAATGCTATGGTCATGTTCTTCATTTGTTGTGCATTCCCAGAAATCTTTTTTTGAAACCCATGTAGCCCTGTGCATTCACAAGAATTTCCATTAAATTATATAAACCTTCCATCTCTTCATTTATTTCCAGTGATTTAGCTTTCTAATCATCGTAGTTGGTCTTCCATTTTTCTGCATATAACCATCGTTCTTGGATTAAGCTTTTTATGGATTAAGTTGTCTGTATAGATTAAATTAAATTTTCACTCTCGGAAATTTTAACATCCCTATATATAATGCCCTTTTTTTCACCTGGAAGATGTACATCATACGCTCCCCATAGTATACCAATCATATGAATAACTCCTCAATGTGAACCATGTTTATCGACACTTCAATTTACAAATTTAAAATCTTAACCAAACAGTGGAAGTCTTAACAAATAAGACATAATGAAAATCCAATAACCCTAGTTTGTTCCATTCTGAACTAGAACATAAACCAACCAATTATTCAAATACATAAACCAAATATCATCCTGGAACACCGCCATGCCTCGCTCGTTCTAAGACCTTACCTTGCCTGTGTCTAACCCCCCAAGTCCCTGCTCCTGAGATGTATATAATGGGTTAACTTCAAAGTTCAAGTAGTTTCATGGTTTTCTTTCATATATCAAAATACATATCGCCTCGAAACTTGCAATGAACACATAACCTCCTATAATGGAAACATGCACACGAAGTGAAAACTTTGTTCAAAAACCTAGAGATACACGCATATGTTATGGATTACCGGTTCTGCTCCTTGTTTGGCTCAGATGGGAGCTACTCGACCCTTGCCGATCTGAGGAGGCACGCCTACTTGGTGCGTTGCCAGCGTCCCGGTTGGTGAATCCGTGAATCCATATGCATACTAAACTACACTTCATGCAGAACACCAAATGTATGGTCCTTTTAAAACATCATGTTAAATTTAAAGCGCATAAAACACATAGGGGCTGTTTGTTAGGAGCTTAATGAGCTTAATGGGACTCGCAGCTTATACTGTCAGCTATACATAACTGTTTGATAGTGGCTTAATGATATAGAAAGTGGTTTATTCAGCAAGATTTCAAAGGAAGCTTTATGCAGAATGTTAAGTTTTTTTCCGACCTGTTCATCCCAATTAAAAGATACGCTCCTTCCATCTATGAAAAACACTCCTAAACAAAAACATTCACAATCTAACATATGGATTAATCCACGTAGACAACTTTATTCATACAAGATTTACTGAAAAACCAACCAAACAGCCTCATAGAATGCGTAACACCATCATCAACCAAACCATGTACATGTTATACATATACACCACAACATGCATCAAAACCATCACCACACCAAATGAACATAGCAAACACCAACCTTTACTTAAAGGGTTTTTCTAACTCCACCCCCTCCTATAGATGCATGTGAGGGGGATGTGATTGTGTAGGGGGGTGAGTATGTGAGGGTGAGGGTGAGAGTGAGGAAAAGTTATGAGGGTGTGAGTGAGGGTTGGTGTGAGGAGGAGGGGGTGAAAAGTGATGTAAGGGGGTGGGGGTTTACTTAAAATACACACCTAGCTGTATAACCATATAAATCTCGTTTAAAATTATCACGAAGACTTACATGATAGTGTAGAGAAAACCTAAAACTAATCCTGGATTAATTACGCTACCAATAACAGTTATTGAAATTAAATGTGCAGAAGAGAGAAATAATATTTTATTAAATGTATTGAAAATTTTATTATAGTTAATGTTAGAATTGCCAAAATAGAGTAGCTGTTGGAGTTGTATGTAGTTTTTTTTTTTTTTTTTTTTGTGGTTTTGAATTTTTATACTCTATTATAGAAAAACTATAACATAGCCGTTGGAGATGCTCTCACATAGCACAAAGGATTTCTCATACCTACTAGGAAGTTCTACATCTTTCTAATTCCAGAAATTCAAGAATCACCTCAATTGGAGTTGTAATTGATTTTATACGAATTTTATAAAATCAGTACATTGTTATCTGGTATCTGATCAGTTTAAATGACTCTCGATTTTGGCTCACCTATAATAAAAATTAGGTTAGTTTAAAAGACTCGATTTTGTAGTACACATCTCAAGCTTTAAAAAACGTATCACATGCCTTACTTCGAAGAACGAGTGATATGTTTTCATAGGAGAGATGTTGATAATGACCAACACTAAAGGCCTGTTTGATTTGCATGCTTTGATAGGATTTGTAATTGAATTTTATTCCAATCCGACGGTTGGTTTAAAGGAATTCAAATCTATTAAAGAATTCATTTATCTGTAAAGAATGGAATTCAAATCTGTTCTAAATTTTACAAACCAAACACACCAAAGTTTCACGTCCTTCCACGACAAAATCCTTCGGAAACATTTCCTCCCTTCTAATCTTCCTCCATATAATTTCTACTCTATACCTCCCCACATCTATTTTCAAATGCATGAGACCCACTCTCTTTAGTCCATAAATTCCAATCAATAATACAAAAATCTTTACACTTTGTACCTTTTCTTGGAGGCAGTTTACTAAATGTTTACCGGATAAGTGTTTACAAGGTCGTTTTATCTGATCCAATGAACATGACAAGGATTGAGAATCTTACCCAGTAAGTGTTTACAAGGTTGGTTTACCTTATCCAATGAACATGACAATTATTAAGAATCTTACCTGGTAAGATGGATGACAAGGATTGAGAGTTTTATCTGGTAAGTGAGAGTAATGACTCTTGACTTGTAAGAGCGATGATAAGGATTGAGATTCTTAACTGATAAGTGAGAGTAACTACTCTTAACCGGTATGAGTGATATAAAATCAAATAGTTCTTTTTTTTCACATTAATAATATTGTTTTGATAAAATAGCCAAGACTAAAATAGTCGGTATTATCAAAAGGTCTTTGGCCTAATGGCATGTGAGTCTCTTGGTCTCTTAGGAGGTCAGGGTTCAAACCTCACAAAAGATGATGAGGGGGTGTGTGTGTGTGTGTGTTTATTTGTTCTATTTTCCCATTTATAAATATTATATGCTTAAAAAAAATGTTGGTATTTCAATTTCAGTTCAACCACGGGTTTAACTCAAACTTCATGTTCCCAAAACTATTTACCAGATCTACAAAAAAGAAATATCGTTTATATTTTATTCCAAACAAATTTGTCTACGAAGATATCATCAAGTCTTTTCAATGGATCGTTTCCTAATTTTTTTGAAATAGAAAATTAAAAATTAAATCATTTTTTAATTTCTAAAATAAAAATTAATTAACTATTAGAATACCAAATATATTTAAGACTTTAAATATACTTTCTACTTAAAAAATTTCTCGCCATGGAAAATTTTAAAAAATATTATCTCTACGAGTGATTGGCCAAAAACCGATCATGGGTCGGTCTCAACCGGTCCCACATTTTTTGAAAACCGACTATAACCCGTCCTTCTAGTCTTGGTCCCGATTGAAAAGGTGAAGACCGGTCAGGCTAATTTACAATCGGTTATAGGCCGTCGGTCCCGGTCCTGGTTCCAATTGGTTCTATGAATGAGAAATTATTTTTTTAATAAATAAAAAAGGTCAAATTTAAAAAAAGAGTCAAACTTTTTGAATACTTCGGGTCAAGCCGAGTCGGTCCATAACCGGTTTCAATCCCAGTTCCACTCCCACAAATCCGACAAAAACCATAACCGGATATAACCGACGGTCCAATAACCGGTTCTTACCAGTCCCGGACCGGGCCGGTTTGGCCATCACTACTTTCTACCAACATTAAAATTTTGATTATTTTTTAAAATTTTGTAGGATAATTGCGGATCATTTACCAAACGTTTATTGTAAAGATTTACTGACAAGAGTCATTGTTCTCACTTTTCTTATTGAGTAGCATTCTAGGACATCAAAATGGATCAATATTAAACATTTATTAGCTCATAAATTTTTACCATACCACCTTTTTTTTTACAAGATAAGATTCTCCGTCATTTCAATGCTCATCTAATAAAATAATTAATTCGATAAACATTTATGTTTAATAACCGACTTTTTAAGTTTTTTTATTAAACTTGGTGTTACATGAAAAATCATTAAAATTATATTCAATCTTACACTTTGAGGCTAGGCTAATTTATAGGGACGTGATAAAGCGCCACGTGTAAACTCGGGTCGAAAATCACCTCTTCGCCAACACGTGTGTACACACGTGTCGCCTTATCTGCCCGAAGAACCACCAATTTATAGATAAACAATTAAATAACACGAAATAAATACTAATTAATATTATTTTTATCACAGTAATTATTTTTAAAAATAATATATTAAACAAACGTAAAAAGACAAATCAAATACAAACTCTTCAACTGTTATAAACCAAACAATTTATTTATAAAGATTATAAGTGTTTATTTATTATGATCAAAATATTATAAAAATTAATTTAAGTTTATTATTTATAATCAATACTTTAAATTAAAATAATTATAGTTAAGGTATTTATGAAATTATATAATTAACCAGATGGATGATTGAGATTAATTTATATAATTATTAAGATTCTAATAATAACTTCTAACTCTACAAATTCTCTTGTTTTCTTATCTAAATTGTCTTAAAATACAAGTGAACTATAAATTTGGTGAATATGGTTTTGATTTCTTAAAAATAACATTTTTCATGATTTTAAAAATTACAAAATAAATATCGTGGTTTATAAAAACATACAGATTTAATTTATTTCTCTAATATCCTTAAGTTATTAGTGTTGTATTTAAGTCATTAGTTAGTTTTCTCATTTTTAATTGAGAAAATACATTATATCCATATGGTTATTTAATTGAAACATCTGAATTTTTCATTTTTCTTTTAATTTAATTATTAACCCTTTAAAATTTTATTAGATTTTAACTATTATACATAAAATAAATATTTCATGTTGTGTTAAACGTATTTGTTATTTAACTATTTGTCAAATTGTAAACGCACATGAAACAGTTACATATGTTTTGATATATATATATATATATATATATATATATATGTGAGCCATCAAATGAAAACCACTCCAATTTGTAAAAACCGTAAAAACTACTCTCATCCGTCGTTAATCTTATAAAAAAAAT